CCATCTCTGAGGGCACAAGAAATACCACACTCCTTTTAGGTTTCCCCACCAACTCTCACTCTCAACTGTGTGTCATGTCTCCTCCCTGGGCCAGTAGAAAATGCAATCTCCATTTGGGAGCCACCCCCCCCCCCCCGGGCCCTGTGGTCCTGGAGTTCGTGTACATCCCACTGGGTGGGAGCTGAGTGAGGGCAGCCGTTTCGTGAGCCGTGTGCACGGGTGTGCACAGCCAGTGCCCGTCACAGCAGACGTGCAGGAAATCTGTTGAATGAGCCGTCTTTGGTCCTGTCACTACACCACTGTATAGAGCAAGAGTGGGCTTTTTGGACACCTCAGGCCACTATAGGGGCAGTCAGCCATGACAGTTATGTCAAGTGCTATGTCAAGACTGAGGTAATGCGGTGTAACAGGAACACCCTTAGGAGGGACTCAGAAGGCCCTAACCACAAGTCTGGTCACTCAGAGAAAGACTCCACCTGGACACCTGTCTGAGTGGACCCTCCACCCGTGGCGGGCTGTAAGAACGCAGAGCTCGACCACCCAGACTCGAGCTGGGCTGGACCACGGGTCACACTCGGAGCCCTGCCGGACTTCCGCTCCACGGGACACTGCAGCCACCTGGCTGGAGACCACCGCCCGGCTCTCCACCTGCAGATGCCACCGGGGACCAGGGCTTCACACTGGCCGCTGCTCTGCTCAATTCTATGTCGTAAACTCCCTGTCTGTGGAACCTGCGTGGGACTCTCTTGGCTTATTGGGGAGTCTCCCAAGTAAACCTGGCATTGTGCGCCCTGGCCGGTTTGGCTCAGCGGTTAGAGCGTCGGCCTGCGGTCCGGAGAGACTCGGGTTCGGTTCCCGCTAAGGGCATGTACCTCGGTTGCAGTTTGTCCCCGGCCCTGGTCGGTTGTGCGGGTGGCAGCCACTCGATGTGTCCCTTCACGTCGATGTTTCTCTCTCTCTCTCTTCCTCTCTCTCCCTCCTGCTCTACCTGAACAAAAAATGGAAAAATGTCCTCCGGTGAGGATAAAAAAAAACACACAAAAAAAACCTGGCATTGTGGAAAGACACAAGGTGCGTGTGACTCCTTTCGGGATGTCCCCTTGCTCACAACTACCACTCACCCAAACATACACGGTGCCTTGAAGGGCAGGGTAAAAGGGTCTGGACCGTGGGGCCGGGGTGCTGACTTCCCTCGGCTGTACAGGCTCCTTTCTCCGGGCTCCACAGGTGCTGTGGGGGTGAGGAGGAGGGTGCTAGGAGCGCCCCTTGTTCTGGGATACCTGCTTTCACCCCTCCCCCAATTCCAGAAACTTCTCCCTGTTCAGCCAGCCCCATCTCAGTTCTCCAATCCCCCAAGTGCCTTTGTTCTTCCCAGAAAGATTGTTTCTCAAAAAGAAAAGCCTATTTTGCAACCTTGCCCCTAGCGAGTGGGAGCGAGGGCCGCCCACTGACCACTGACCCCGGGCTGGCTCACAGCTCTGCCCCCTGAGCTGGGGGGCGAGGGGCTAACTCTAGCTCTGATTCTCTCTGACCTTCCCCAGCAGTGTAGCAACACACACATTTGTTTCTCACCGAGTTTTCCAGCCCAAGGTGGCGGTTCGGAGGGGAGAGGGTGGGGCAGCCAGGGGGACAGCGTGCACTTGTTACCCAGAGGCGAAGTGGGTGGAAAATTTCAACCTGAGGCCTGGTCCTCCCGCCCAGCACGCTGCCTACAGGGCAGAGAAAGTCGAGTGCACAAAATAACACAATGTAAAGACCGCCAGAAAAATGGGCCTGCGCTAAACCCATCCTGCCAAGGTGAGGAAGGCCACCTGAGATCCCTCCGTCAGAGCCTCAGTTCATTGGTCCAGCAAGAACGCAATGACCTCCTTCCACACATGCGGGTGCAAATGTCCTTGGGGGTCCTTCTGCCAGGAGCAAATCCCTACCTGTCCCCTTCAGTCTTAGTCATACAAGTACATATGAGAGTCGAGCCCCAATAACCACCACACAAAGCTCACATATATTGGGCATTTACCGGGTACCAAGTACAGTGTCAAGTGCTTTTCATGGCCACCTCAAGGAGTCTTCCTGACTGCCCTTTGAGAGAGGTATGAATACCCCCACTTACAGATGAGGAAACTGAGGCTCAGAGAGGTCTGCCTTGCTCAGGAAGCAATGCCATGGGAATCCTAACACAACTATACTTGATGCCATTGCCCACACCTGTAATTACCATGTCTTACTACCCCCTGCAAATCACAGTCACAAGGGATCAGCACCAGAGAAGAACAGGTATGGTGTGGTGGAAATTCAGAAGAATTCGTGACCAGCTGGACAATCTGCAAAGGCTTCAAGAAGGAGGAGCCAGAACTTGACGGCTGGGTGGGATCTGCCCAGAGGAGCCTGTGGAATGGGCGTTCCCGGAAGAGCAAAGGCTCAGAGGGAGGAAGCATGGGGAAGGTTCTGAGCACTGGAAGCCATCTTCAGGCTCATGTATGGGCATGTGGGGAAGCGAAGGAGAGAGGGGACAAGAAAGGTGGGCTGGGGCCACACTGTATAGAGTGGGGTGGGGACAACCTTCTGAGAAACCCCAGGCCATGGGCACAGAGTTTAGCCCCAGATGCTGGGTATCCTTTTGCTGGAGGACAAGACCCTCTTCTCCGAACCCACAAGGCCATAGCAGCCATCCCCCATCCCCTCCACCTAGACACCTGGACACCAGGTAAGACAGGTGCAGGGAGAGGAAAACCAATTCACTTCAGACAGACCTTGATCACCCTTAGCTATGTAGCCCCTGAAAGGGTTGTTCATATTTTTAACTCAGACCCAGCTTAAAAACCAGCTGGACTCGTTGTAAACATTTTTTTTTCTCTTCTAATCGGGCTTTAGAGAGCTCAAGAAGAAGCCTGATTAGTTATGGATTAAAGAGATAACATTTTCGCCCTGGCCGGTTTGGTTCAGCGGTTAGAGCGTCGGCCTGCGGTCCAGAGAGACCCGAGTTCAGTTCCCGCTAAGGGCATGTACCTCGGTTGCAGTTTGTCCCCGGCCCTGGTCGGTTGTGCGGGTGGCAGCTACTCGATGTGTCCCTTTCGCATTGATGTTTCTCTCTCTCTCTCTGTTCCTCTCTCTCCCCCCCACTCTACCTGAACAAAAAATGGAAAAATGTCCTCGGGTGAGGATAAAAAAAAAAAGAGATAACATTTTCCCCTGCTTGTTTGAGCTGGAGTTGAAAGATTCCATTAGACATATACTGAGATTCTAGATAAGACTGTTTTGTTTAAAAGCTTCACTACTAAAAACAGTTTATATATACAGAGGCCCGGAGATGGTCTGGAAGTCACCTGAGGCCACACGGCACTGAGTGGCAGAGTCAATCTCGCCTGGGCCCAGGGTTGCTGTAAGTCAGCCCAGTACTCCTTCCGCAGGGCAATGTTGGCTCCGCTTGCTGCTGCCATGACCTGGGGCAGGGAGGAGAGTGGGCCAAGGACTCAGGGTTTAGTGCAATCCAGCACAAGGGTTCCCAGAATTCTCAGCTCACTTAGGGTTCTCCTCCTGGGGACCCCAAATGCCTTGGATATGGGCTCAATCAGGGCTAAGCCTGAAACCAGGTCCCAGGCAATGCCCTGCAAGCCCTTCCCTCCTCTCCCCGGCAGACTCTTCACCTGCACCCCATGTGACTGCACCTGACTCAGTCATTCCTCCACCAAGTGAAGCCTAACCCAGCCTGAAATAAGCCCTCGCTAAGGAGTCAGAAGTCCGGGGATCCAGCCCAGCTGGGCCACTTCCTAGCTGAGCAGCATGGGCTGCTTATGTCACCTCTCTGGCCTCCTAGGCTGTCAAACACACCGAGTAGGAACTCTGCAAAGGGGCGAGGGGCGGGCACTGCCCCGCGGCAGTGACATGCACTGTGAATGCAGACCCAGCTCTGGAGTCAGGATGCCTGGGACTGACTTCCACTGCGCGTTGTATGAGTTTACCCCCTAAACTACATGTGAACATTAAGAAAGATAATATAGGTTGAGAGTTTAGGACAGTGTCTGATACACAGTAAGTTTTCATTACAAATTAGCTCTTGAGTGTTCTTGTTTCTTGAGTCTCCATTGACCCCACACTCCCCACCTAATAAATAGATGCACTTGGAAGACATACGCATTTGTTTGCCCAAGAGCCTAGTCTGGGGTCTGGGACAGGGGAGTGACAGTGGCGTGTGGATTTGCTTAATACCTGCTCCTGGAAGTCTTAGTACTTGTAAAAAGGATGCATACAGTGTACTGCAGTCCCCTTCCCCACAAACCTTCTCTCCCCCACCTAATATTAGCACCTTCTCCAGGGGTCAAGAGCTGGTGACTAAATTTTTGAATAAAACATAGTCCTCTGTTTGATGTTTAGTAATAATGAGCTTGTATGCCAGGTGAGTCACCAAACCTGGTTTACGGTCTGTGCCTCATATATAGCCATACAGTTCCAGAGGCCCAGAATCATCGATCCTGGAAATTCATTTATTCAAGGAACATTAATTGGGTGCCTGGCAACCTTCTGATTCCTGAGTTGGAAGGGGATAAATTATTATTTAGAAGCTACACAAGGGCAGGAAGTTAATGTTCTGGACATGTGTTCCCTAAGTGCCTGTTCTGTATCCTGAGCAAACTATCCTTACATGTCCTTGTTTATGAATTAGTGAGAGCCAGTGAATCTTTCAGAAGACCTCAACTTGCAGTTTTGGTCAAAAACCTTTCAGCCCTTACAAACGGGGACCTCTCTTTCTGGATTGTACTAACTCTTTCGTTAGTTAAAAGCTTTCTGCGTCTTTAAAAGGGGGCGTTACCCTGTCAAATGGACCCTAAAGCATAGGCTGAAGGCGCGTGAAGTCCCACCCACTTTCTGTGACGTGTTATGCCCCGGTCTCTGATTGCCCGCCTCAGACGTCAATCGCAGAGCGTGTGTCTCGCTGGGACACAGTGGAGGTCTCACCTCTGGTTTGCGGAGCGGTCGGGTGCATTCGCCTCCACGCTCCCACACGCCCTCGAGATCCCCGCGGCCCGAACCAGCAGCGGAGCCAGCCAGTGGCTCCCGTGGCGCCCTCCCGCCCAGGATCGCTCCTCGCTGGGGCGGGACCTGGCCCGACAGCTCTGGTCACTATGGTCAGTGGGCGAGGAGGGAGGCGGGGAAGGGGGAGCGGGGAGTGGGCGCGGTCGGCGCGGTCGGCGGGGTCGGCGGGGTCGCCGCCGAGGCGCATGTGCACTCGCGGGTCGGGGGTCGGCGCGAGGCTCAGCTTCCAGCGGGGCCCGTGGCGCTCGGAGCCCCGGGAATACTGAGTCGGGACGGGTGCTAGGGGTCCCTGCCCTTCCTCGTAAGGCCCTGCAGGGCCCGGGACGCATCCCACCGTCCCCCAAGGACGTACAGCTAAGGGGACCCAGCCCGGCCCCCATGCCCCTCACCCCCGGGCGTGTTAGTCTCAGGTGTCCCCGAGGGTGCCGCCCAGATGGCGCAAGGTTGGTGCCCTCGACGGGAACCAGGTCTGGAGGAGGCCCCAGGGCTAAGGGTTGCTCCCTCTTTGTTAAGTAACCCCCTGAGTTGGCAGCTCATCATCAGACACCCCCGAGGCCCACGAGTGGATCTAGGGGTACAGGGTGGCCGGACCACTAAGCACTCTCTCGGTCCCGCACGTCAGGAGAAGGTGTTTGGAGTTAGGACTCATGTGGAGAGGCGGCCCCAAGTTGTGAGGCACGTGATTTAGGAGTTAGGGCAGAGCAAAAACTAGACCCCAGTTCAGAGTCCTGTCTGAGCAGAAAGGGCCTCAGAGACCTGCGGAGCTGAGCCAAACCTGGGGCTTCACAGGCGGGAAAACTGAGGCCCAGAGAGGAACAGGACTGGGACTGTGGTGGATCCCGACTCAGTCCAGTGCTCTTTATGTTCCATCAGTGCACCATCCTGGTTTGGGGGAGGGGGTCAGGCAGCCTGCAGGGGACTGAGTATGCTGACTGCCTGAAACCCTTCACCCTGAGCCCCCTGTTCCAGGGATCCTGTAGAGGGGCCCCTGTGGTGGCTTGGGGTTACACAGCCTGAGTTCACATCTCACCTCCACCCTTTGGGAAGCCAAGAGGCTTTGATTGTCATTCCTCCCCCTAGCACCATTTTGCTCATCTATACAATGTCTCCGCTGTGAGAACCACATGAGGGGATGTGGCTTTTCCAGTGCTAACAGGGTCCTGGAAATAGGTGTGCACAGGTGCCTTGGCCTCCTCCCTCCCATGTCTGGGCATGGAAATGGGTCACCACTGCCGGATGCTGCTGGGGAGGGTCATGGGTCAAAGCCTGGTCATGGCCCAGCACGTTCAGGGTGTGGCATGAGTAGCCAGGTCATCTGAACCAGAGCTGTCCTGGACAAACCAGCTTGCTGCTGGGGTGTGGCTGAGGTCTCTGGGGCCTCTGGCAGCACCAGCTTCCTGCTCCTACCCAGTGCCCAAGGGTTTACCTGGCTCTGCTGCTCCTGGAAGGGGGCCCAGGTGTTTCTGCATCATCCACTGGGGAGTGGCCTGAGATGGGGTAATAATGGGTTCAGCCATCTAAAGCTAGAGGCTGGCATGCTTTCTTGCCAGCACTGGGTAGCTGAGAAAACAGCAGGGACAGTGGCCTTTGTGCTGCACAGTGAGGCCTCTGACCCCACCCCGTGGTCTGCCCTGGACTCATGAGACACGAAACTAGAGATTAGGCAGGGTCAAAAGCATCACACCCTCACCCCATCACAGTCACCATCACCGGGAGGCTGTGTGCCTTAGAGAGGGATGAAGTGATCAACCCACTAAGTAGGATGTCTCCAAGGCACCCAAGCCTCCCAAATCATGGGAGGGCAGAGGCTGTTTTCTTCCATTCACTCAGCATTTATTGAGCACCTACTGTTTGCTAAGCACCATGGACCCTAGGCTGCATGGTGTGAACGGTGATGAATGTGTGTGGAGGGCAGAGGAGAGTGTCTTTGGAAAATACAGCGTCTTCTTTCCTTTCCCATTTCGAAGTCATGGGCTAAGACTGAGGAATGGTCTCAGGTAGAAGACAAAATCTCCTGGGAAGACGGGCCAGAATGAGGACCGGGCCTGGGGCTGCCACTGGTTGGGCTGTAGGTAGTGAGGGGTCTCATGCTCACTCAAAGTGCATTTAATGTTAGGTAAACGAATGGGTATCAGTAGTGAACAGAAAATCAGAGCCTTTCTGTGACTTTCTTCTTTTACTTGTCAAACAAGATCCCAGTAGGCATCTAGTTAGGCTCCATGCTGGGCACTGATGAGAAAGACCAGGGGCCTGCCCTCTCTTGGGACCTAAATGCCTATTGGTCAAGACATAACTGGACACAAGCAATTCCTGAGCTACAGGCCATGGCCTCTGAGGTCTGACCCAGGGCTTTGGGAGCACAGCGGGAAGCCAGTGCCCTCTGAGGGGTGGGGAGTGTTGGCAAGGCTTCACCAAGGAGGGCTCTGGACTGGGTGTTGAAGCATGTATCCTTCAGGAGGGGCCACGGGAAGAATACATTCTAGGCGGGGGGGGGGGCAGTATTCTTGAAGGCCTGGAAGTATGGTTGAGAATGGGGTATTCTAGGAAAGGATAGTGGTCTGTGTGGGTGAGGGAGCTGGGGGGAGAGCGGAGTCTGGAAAAGTAGGTGGGGTCCGAATGTGTCATGGGAGCTGCACACACTGTGCCAAGGGCTGGATTTTATTTATTCTGCTAATGGGAAGAACCGTGACATACTTTTGACAAGTAAGAGAAGGTTGACTTCAATGATCTCTGGCAGTGTGGTGGACACAGGGCTGGAGGGAGATCAAGCTGGAGTCTGAGACCGGCTCATCCATTCGCTGTCATCCACTCAGCGTGCGGTTGGGAGCACTCCTGGTGCCAGGCACTGGGGGCCTAGTCATGACAGGCAGGCAGAGTCCCTGACCTTATGGAGTTGCCATTCTTGTGCAGGGAGACAGACAGTATGCAAGTAAATGAGGGAACCTACACATCAGAAAATGCTCTAAAGAGATGAAACAAGGCAGTAGGGTTGGAGAAGCAGCAGCTTTAGAGTGGGTGGTCAGGGAAGGCCTCTGCCAGGTGACGTCCCCCGAGTCACATGGAGGCGGAGCAGCACTGCGGCAGCAGGCACAGCAGGTGCAGATGCTCGGAGGTAGGAATGCGTGTGCCTTGTTGGAGGAACACAGAGGGTCGTCGTGGCCGGGGCGGCGGCAGAGTGAGATGAGCAAGGCCAGAAGGCGTAGGACCTGGGAGGCTGTCCTCCCAAAGCTGAGTCTTTTCCTCAGTAAGAGAAGCCATGGGAGGGGATTAGAAAGGGTGTGCTGTCACCCGGTTTACCGTTGAACAGCCTGCCCTGCAGCTGTGTCAGATGGTTGGGGTGGGGCAGGAGTGGAAGCCAGGAGTCCGTTGGGGACCCTGTTGCAGCTTCTGGGGCAAAGGAGATAATGGCAGCTCAAGGTAGACCCAGGAGCAGAGCTCATGGGGGAGGAGGACTCCTGGGCCTTTGGCGTGAGCTCTGCTGGCTGGAGGGGCCTTCGGGGGAGTTGGGGGCACCTGGGAGAGGAGGCAGGGGTGGAGTGAGAGAGCAGTTAGGGGCACAGTAACTTGGGGATGCTGGTCAGACATGCCAGTGGCTGGTGGCTGTTTGAGACCAGATCTCCAAGGAGAGGTCAGAGCCGGAGACAAGTTGTACCAGTTCAGGCATTAAATGAGAGGGGCCAGTGTCTAGTTTAGGGTCTCTGCAAGGCCAGCCAGTAACTGTGACCCAAGGCATATGGGGACCCAAGTGCAAGGTCTTCCCTATTTTCTGAGCTGAATAGCAGAGAAGGGGCACTTGGATGGTGGGCTGAGTAATAGCTCCCCAAAGATGTCCACATCCTCAGCCCCCGAACCTGTGCATAGGGTACCGCACATGGCAACGGGGACTTTGCAGGTGTGATGAAGTTAAGGCTCTTGAAAAGGGCAGATACCCTGAATTACCCAGGTGGGCCCAAGCAGGTCATCGAAAGGGTCTCATAAGGGGGAAGGCAGGAGGGTCAGAGTGAGAAGGAGCCCTGAGGATGAAGGGAAGGGATCATGAGCCAAGGAATGCAGCGGCCTCTAGAGACTGAAAAAGGTAAGTAAACAGGTTCTCCCCGAGCCTCCAGGAAACAGGATGACGGTAGTCCATGTTGTTTTCGGTTCCCGAGTCTGCTAATTTGTTACAGCAGCAATAGGAAACTAATTCCGGGCTCTAAGGCGTTCCTAAATCTTTGCCTCCAAACATTTTTGATTAGTCACGTCAGTAAAAATGTTTTGATCATTCTACATATTTGTATATTATACATCGCACCCTAAAGTAGACCTTTGAAAGGGCATTTTCTTCCAGCCTCTGAACCAACCCACTCTGGGGACCCCAGCCCCAGGCAGGCAAGGCCAGGGCCCCCTCGAGCCTCTGGAAGTGACGAGTACCTTCTGGGAGGGAGTTTGGCCCGGTTCTGGTCTTGCCTTGCTGGTGGGTGAGCCTGCAGGCTCTGGCCTCTACGTGAAGGGGTCGGTAGCTGGAGGCTCTGGCCACGCCATGGGCTGTGGCTTCAGGGCGGCTGGGCCTGGTTAACAAGGCTGACTCACTGCCCAGGGCTGCTCTGCAGAACAACCTCAGAGGCGGTTGGGCTGGCCGAGGGCTGGCATTGCCCGCTGGGGCCCAGGGTGGACCCATGAGAGCCTGCCAGCACCTCAGAGCCTGGCTGGAGGATGCTTACAGGTGCACTGACGGTATGTTGGGGGTAGGGGTGGGGGGCTATAGGTAGAGGTGTGAGCCAAGGCCTGGCTGCTGAGGGGCTGTCGGGGCCAGAGGGATTCGTTCCGTGGAGGGTGAGAGGGTGCAGGAGGAGGTGGCTTTCATTCAAATTCATTCAAGAAACAGCGTATCCCCAGCTCTGTTCCAAGCCTGGGATCGGCCCTGGGGCGTCAGCCAGGCGAATGGAAGGTCTCAGAGGGTTTGACAAGTTGTCCTGTGCCAAAGAAGGCCCATGTGGCTTTGGACACTTTGATGGGAGGGGGCATCCAGGCCCCCCAGAAATGCCCCTTCCTAATTGTAGTGCCTCTCTGTCCTGGATGCTGGGCGCAGGAATTGGGGCCAAAGAAGCTCATTGTCAGATAGAAGTCTGTCTGATGTGGAGACAGGGGTAACCCTAGAAGTCACTTAGAGCTTCTGGTGGTAAGCTCTACAGAAATCTAGTCATCAAAAACCCAGACACATCTGTGCAGATGGAGAGGGCTTTGTAGCGTCAAAGGCTCTCCGTGAGCGTGGTGGTCTCGGGTAAGTCAGTGTCAGTCAGGGCTGAGAGGCCGCCCTGCAAAGGCTCCTGTGGGTGGAGGCTCTGTCAAAGATGATGGCAGTACATGGATGGAAAACGGGGTTTCCGTCGACATAACTCCCAATTAACATCAACTTTTCAGCTGTGAACTGTGACATAAGCACTGTCTCCTTGGGTTGTGCCCAGGTACCAGGCCACTTATTTTATTTTACTTTTTTATTTTTGTTGTTTTCTTTATTGATTTTAGAGAGAGACAAAGGGAGAGGGAGGAAGAGGGAGATGGAAACATTGATGAGAGAGAACATTGATTGGCCGCCTCCTGCATGCCCCCCACTGGGGATGGGCCCACAGCCTGGGCGTGTGCCCTGACTGGGAATCGAACTGGCAACCTCTTGGTGCTTGGGTCGATGCTCAACCAGTGAGCCACACCGGCCTGTTACCCACCAGTGGCTTTAATACCAATTCCTCTTACATTATTTTTGTGCTGAAATCGGGGCTGTTCCCGGGGTGCATTGGAAGCAGGGGTGCATCTCCCACTCGTCTGAGCCCTGAGTCTGGGCAGGAAGAGCCTTAGGCAGAGACACGGCCCGCAGGGAGCTGGCTATTAGAACAGAGACGTCTCCCTCACTCAGCCTGGCTCTGGAGCTTTCGGCTGTCATCACCTGCTCCCTGCCAGAGAGGCGCGGACACTGGGTCAGGAGGCTAATCTCTGGGTTGGGATTGACCTAGACTCTCAGCTGGGCTGCAGTGTGAATGCTCACCAGTGGGTGGTGCATCTGGCCGATGTTATCACCTCTGCATTCCTAGCATGTGCTTGGGGCAGGCTGGATGTTCAGGAGTTGTTGGATGACTAAAAGAAGAATGAGTGAGACAAGAAGGACAGAGAAGGCAAAGGAACATATACTCCAGCATGAAGGATCACTGGGTTTGGGGCATTATACTCTACCAGATGAATGTGTTCAGCACTTACAAGATGGTACCGCTCCATGGTGGGGCCCACCTGACTCCCGGTCCAGGGGACATGGCATGTAGGATCCTGGTCACGTTGTCACATGCACCTGTTGTGGGAAGGTGACAGTCATTGTGTCAGGTACTAAGTTCAGAGGCCTTGAACTTGGTGAAGTCTCATCAGTTACTTTTGAAATTGACTTCTTTGTCTTTCAGAGTGAAACAGCTTTCAACCTAATATCAGAAAAATGTGACATTCTATCAATTCTCCGGGATCATCCTGAAAACAGGATTTACCAGAGGAAAATCCAGGTGAGGAGAGGGTTGGGAGGAGAGGATGCTAGATTAGACAGGCTGCAGTTAGTAGTAGAGGGGACGGTGCCACTTTGAAGGCAAAAAGGCTTAGCATTTGGACCAGGTTCCTGGGAAAATGAAAGGGCTCCCAGAATATTTTGATGTTGGGCATTTGCCTTAGTGAGAAATCCTTTTATTTTATTTTATTTTTTAAAAACTTATCTTTATTGTTGAATGTATTACAGATGTTCCTCATTTTTCCCCCATTGACCCCCTCCTCCCCACTCCCACCCCTCTCCTGCCTTTCCCCACACTGTTTTCTGTGTCCATTGGTTATGCATATAAGTTCTTTGATTTATTTCTTCCCACCACCACCCCCAAAACCCCTTTCCCTTTGAGGTTTGTCAGTCTAGCAATGAATTTGTACTTCTTAATCCCTTCACCTTTTTCACCCATTCCCCCAACCCCCCTTCCATCTGGCAACCAACAAAAAGTTATCTGTATCTATGAGAATGTTTCTGTTCTGCCTGTTCATTTTGTTTGTAGATTCCATTGTCGATAGATATGTATTCATTGCCATTTTGTTTGTTCATATATTTTATCTTTTTCTTCAAAAAGACCCTTCATCATTTCATATAATAATGGTTTGGTGGTGATGAACTCCTTTAGCTTTTTCTTGTCTGGGAAACTCTTTATATGGCCATTGATTCTAAATGACAGCTTTGCAGGATAGAGTAATGTGGGTTGTAGGTTGTTGCTTTTCATCACTCTGAGTATTTCTTGTCACTCCATTCTGGCCTGCAAAGTTTCTTTTGAGAAATCAGCTGACAGTCTTATGGGGTCGCCTTTGTAGGTAACTAACTGCTTTTCTCTTGCTGCTTTTAAGATTCTCTCTTTGTCTTGAACCTTTTGCATTTTGATGATGATATGTCTTGGTGTGGGCCTCTTGGGGTTCATCTTGTTTGGGACTCTCTGTGCTTCCTGGACTTGTATGTCTGTTTCCTTCACCAAGTTAGGGAAGTTTTCTGCCATTATTGTTTCAAATAGGGTTTCGATTTCTTGTTCTCTCTCTTCTCCTTCTGGCACCCCAAAGATGCAAATGTTGGCACGCTTGAAGTTGTCCCATAGGCTCCTTACACTATCCTCATTTTTTTGGATTCTTTTTTCTTTTTGCTGTTCTGATTGGGTGTTTTATTCTTCCTTATATTTCAAATCGATGGTTTGCTTCTTGGCTTTACCTACTCTACTATTGAATCTGTGTAAATTATTCTTTATTTCAGTTAGTGCCTCCTTCATTTCTGACTGTATATCCTTCATGACTGGTCCTTTTTTATGCTCTTGAGGCCCTCACTACGTTTACTGAGGTTCTCACTGAGTTCATTGAGCATCCTTATAAGCAGTATTTTGAACTCAGCATCTGTTAGGTTGCTTATCTTTATTTTGCTTCGTTCTTTTTCTGTTCTTAGTTCTTTTGTTCTGTTCTTGCATTTGGGACCTGTTTCTTTGTCTCCTCATTTTGGCTGCCTCCCTGTGTTTGTTTCTATGTATTACTTAACAAGAGGTATGGGGCTAGTTAAGACCAGATGCTGCTTGTTTGAAAGAATTTAGGAAAACCTGAAGCAGGATCCAAGACAGGCCAATCCTATGGTTAAGCAAGTGGCAACAGCTTGGGTGGGCTTGAAAGTTGGGTGGGGCGGGGCCTCAGGGAAACACCAGGGCGGGGCTACCAGTGTGAGCCAGGTTGCTGGAGTCCCAGGTATGGCTGCTGTCTGCCACCCCAGGGAAGGGCTCACCAAAGGAACAAAGGCCTCTGACAGCACGTTTGTCCTGGAGAAAGCCCCCTCTCCAGCCCTCGCTCTAGTGCCAAACAGCTCAGTTCTTCCCTGGGTGTCTCTGGTGCCCCTCGAGCTGCCTCCCCTCCAAGCTTAGAGGGAGTGAGTCCGACAAGTCCGTGTGTGGGCCCTTTAAGGAGCTGCCTCGGGCTCCAGCCGCCTCAGCCTCCCTGAGCCTCAGTTCCCGCTGGTTTTCCAGCCAGAAGTGATGGGGTTTCTCTTCCTGGCACTGGGACCCTGAGCTGGGGCCTGGTGTGGGATGGGGACCCCTCAGTCCTCAGGGGGGACCTTCCCAGCCGAGGTGTCCTCCTGATTTTTATCCACCACACGTGGGTGTGGGACCAGCCCGTCCCCTCCGCCCTCCTACCAGTCTCGATGCAGCTTCTTTAATTCCGTAGTTGTAGGACTGCCATTCAGCTTGATTTCAGGCGCCTTTGAATGATGGTTGTTCTGTAGTTTAGTTGTAACTTTGATGTGCTTGTGGGAGGACACGATACCGCGTTTACGTACCCGCCATCTTCAGTGAGAAATCCTTTTAGTTGCACACACAAAAATACTTTTTTAAGCTAGGTGCTATCCTAAGTGCTTTGTTTTCTTACTGAAGCCTCATTACAACATCGAAGGTCAGTACTTTTACTGTCCACGTTTACGGCCGAGGGGACTGAGGCACAGAAGTTCAGTGCCAGGCCCGTGGTCCTACAGCTCGTGCATGAACAAGCTGGGATTCGGACCAGGCAGCCTGATGGCATAAGCCGCACCCTTAACCGCTCTGGAGGGAAAGCCCACTCCAGCGAGGCCGCAAAAGCCGAGTTTGCCAGAAGGGAGCAGGGACAGCTCAGAGCGGTCTCTGGGGCAGGCGCCTGCTTCTCTCTGCGCACTGGCAGGACTGTCTCCTGCCGCCGCAGGGCGCACTTCCCGGGCAGGAGCAAGGGCTGGGCAGCAGGACTCTCGTGTCCCTGGAGCTCTCTCTGGTCCTTCCCTGCCGGCTGGCCTATGGTGAGAAGGGACTCTGCGACCTGTTGAAAGCCATCTCTGCTGTTAAAACCGTAGCTTCCTGAGACAGCAGAGGGGACTCCAGGCCATTTCATAGGGACAAAAAGAGGGGTGGCATGGGGAGGACCATGCCTTTGGAGGAATGTCTAAAGGTCGGGCCAGACTGCTTCATATGCCTGAGGAGGCCCCTCCCGCCGGCTCCGCGGCCCCCTGGCCCACCTGGCAGCCACGCCAAACCCCACTCTGCCTCTGCTCACACACACAACCCTCTCGCCCCTCTTCCGTAGATGCCATTACTCCAAGGCACACCCCTCCCCTGTGTCCCCCCTCCCCCCCGTCCTCCTGCCTGGTCTTCCCCGTCCCTGCTAGCCTGCAGGTGCATGCCATACTTGTGGGATGAATGAGGGACTGTGAGGGGCAGGCAGTCTGAGGAGAGGCAGCCCTGTTACCTGGGGGAAGTGGGAGCCTGGGCAGGAAACGGCAGGATGGGGTGTTGCTGCAGATGTCCACATCTCCGTTTCCCCACAGGAGCTCAGCAAAAGGTTCACCGCGATCCGCAAGACCAAGGGGGATGGGAACTGCTTCTACCGGGCCCTGGGATATTCCTACCTGGAATCTCTGCTGGGGAAGAGCAGAGAGATCCTCAAGTGAGTGGGGCAGAGGGCGGGCTCCCTGGCCCTGAGGCTATGTTCTCATTGTACCGCAGGACAGCTGGTGAGAGGGGGTGACAGTTGACAGCAGCACTTCCTGTATGTCCTGGTAAACATCTCTCTACCCCTTTAGGTTCAAAGAACATGTGCTGCAGACCCCAAATGACCTCCTGAGTGCTGGCTTTGAGGAGCACAAGTTCCGCAACTTCTTTAACGCTGTGAGTTAACCTGCTGGATGGCTGAGGGGCCAGGTCCTTCCACGCTGGCAGGGCAGACAGACGGGCACTGGCCGGAGCCCCTCATAGCCCATGGCTCTGTGGTTGTACCCCACTTCTCCTCCCAACTGGGGAAGGATGGAGGTTGCCTCCTGCTAGCGGGGATGTGGGGGGGAGGAGGTACCTCCTTAGGGTAGCTTTCAGGCCTGAAACTTCCCCCCCAGCCTCCTTCCCCCCATTTCCTCTCCACCCTCTCCCCTGACCCCATGAGTGAAGTGGGTGGGTGGGTTGAGGGGGGCTCTCAGTTCTGGATTTCTCAATAAGAATCCAACCCGATAATGATGGAGGGAGACCCCAATTGCTGTTCGCTAGACTTGACTCCGGCTAAGTCAACTCCCGGCTCAGTCAGTCATTACTTAGCTTGGGTGCGATCGCAGACTGATTGATTTCGGGACCTTGACTTGAGGACTGAGAGTGAGGCGCAGTGGAGGGAGCCCCGGGGAGGAGGCGGGTCTGGCCTGTGCCGTCCTGGCTGACGCAGCGGGGTCTAGTTCTACAGTGTGGTGGAGCTGGTGGAGAAGGACGGCACAGTGTCCAGCCTGCTGAAGGTGTTCAACGACCAGAGCTCCTCCGACAGAATCGTGCAGTTCTTGCGCCTGCTCACCTCAGCGTTCATCAGGAACCGTGCAGACTTCTTCCGACACTTCATCGATGAGGAGATGGACATCAAAGACTTCTGCACTCATGTAGGTCCTCGGGTCAGCCCCGCCCTGGGCCTGTTCTCCTCCCTCTCCTTAGACTCTAGCACCAGCATCCCTAGCCAGGGACTTGGGTGTCACTCTGCATTTGCAATTCAAAGAGCACAGATTAGCCAGCCAGCAGCAGCCTCCTACTGGAGCTGCTGAAGGAGTGGGAGTGGCTTTGGACACGTCACTCACACCTCTGGGCCTCAGATTTCCCGTCTGAGAAACAGGGCTGTGGACTAGACTGTGGACATAATTAAGGAGTAGCTACCAGAGTCACATTTGCCCCAAGACGTGTTCTGTTTTTGATGTATGTTATGAACCTGAAAGAGTTGCCAACATTTAAACCCTGGGCAATCCCATATGAAAATCTGGATTTCTCTGGAAGAACTGCAGGAGCCAGCTCCCAGGCCTTCTTCCCGCACGGCAGCAACCAGCAGGAGCTCAGTGGCAGGCACGCTCCCACCGATCGGCACAAAAGCCAGGGCTGACTTCTCCCTTGTCCTCTGCTAGGCTTCCTTCCTAAACTGAGTTTTGTTTTTTCTTTTCATTTTGGCCTTCGCAGGAAGTGGAGCCCATGGCCATGGAGTGTGACCACATCCAGATCACGGCCCTATCTCAGGCACTGAACATCGCCCTGCAGGTGGAGTACGTGGACGAGATGGACACGGCCCTGAACCACCACGTGTTCCCCGAGGCTGCCATCCCTTCCGTGTACCTGCTCTATAAAACATCCCACTACAACATCCTTTATGCAGCCGATAAACGTGATTAATTTTAGGCCATGAAGTGGAGCCTGTCACCTAACGGGACTGCATTCTGAGTGGAACATTACGGCTTTTCCATTTTTTAAGCGATTTAGACTGTAGTTAGAAAACAGAAAACACAGCCTTCTAGGCAAAGTCACTGGGAATGAGGCCTACCAATTATGGACTGTGGTAACTTGGCAATATTTTAGTATTTATTTTCATGGAGAATCAAATGCTTTTTAACTTGGAGCTAGGAAGCCAGCGCCTCTGGCTCCCCTCCCAGTTCCCTGAGACCTCGGGCAGGGCACCTCCCCCCTCTGGACCTGCTGCTTCCTCCGGAGGAGCTTCTGCCAGTGCTGACATTCCACTGTGTACAAAAGCCAGGGCCCTCCGGTTTCTTCCGACCATGGGCAGTGCCTCTGAGGGAGGAGAAGCTCAGGGCATCTGACTTACCCGTTCTGTGAAAAAGAATCCGGCCCAGTCAGCTGGACTGGACTTTGGCGGATGGCTGAATGAAGCGTTGGCCAGCTGAGGCCGACTTGAATGTGAAGGCTTTGGTGTGCTTCTAGACATCCATGATGCGAGTGTTTTCTTACCCTACCTTAAGAAGGAAAAGTCTAGAAAGGGGTCTTCAGCATGAAGTTCAAGTTGTTGGGGCCCCTCTACCTCAGGGCCAGGACTGCCTGCCTGGCCCTTCAGGGTTCTGCCGCCAGCCCCACTTGGACAGTGGCTCGAGAAAAATTTGGGTCTAGGACCTGGAAGCTGTCTGTTCATCCCCGACGTATCCTGGAAGTAGAATCTAGACACCCAGCCAGGTGGAGACACGGCACATGCGCCGCAGACTCTGGCTGAACAGAACAGACACGTTTTGCAAGGTTGTCTCCTGCCTTTTCTCCCCTTTCCCACCTCTGCTCCGGTTATGGGCTGGTGAGGTTGGGTGGGAAAGAACGGGGCAAGCCGAAGAAACTGGCGGTGGGCAGACTTCTGTTACGGAAACTGCCTAGGAGTCAAGAGCCCTGGCTGGCAGCCTCCTCATTCATCTACCTGGACGTGCCCCTTAATAACCTCACCTTGCTGCCTCGGGGCCTCCAAGAGCCCTGGCTGGTCTAGGGCGCCGCTAACAGTTCTCTCGCACTGCGGGAGGAAGTGGAGAATGCAGGGGGTGTGGAACTGCCCCAGGGTTACTTCCTTAATCAAAGGCCTTCTTCTCACAGGTTCCATTCTGCAGGGATTAACTAGACTCTGTTGGTGCTACAGTGCAAATCTGCTGCCGGCCAGATGATGCGGCCAGATGATGCACAGGGACGGGGAGCAGACTGCTCCAAGTCCTGGTACACAAACATCAGAGCTGGATCTGGATCTGTCTTTGCAAAGGCAGATGTCAGGGTGCTCTAATTCCAGGCGGGGACTCAGGTTCCCATCCGCCACTGGCTAGAATTTGAACCCAGGGGCTCAAGCTAAGTGATTATGTCATTTCCAACAGGGATATAAATCTGAGCCTGATCTCTGAACTGGCTCAGTGTCTCAGAGTCTCACCCTGTTCTGCGTAGAGTGCTGGGCTCTGTGGCAGTACACTGGAGGGGTGAGGGCAGTGTTATATGGTTGAGTATCAGCATCCCCATTTCCAAACTGAGGGTGTGAACACATGGCTGCTCTGCCGGTGGAGAGACGGGCCCGAGCCCCTGGCCAGGCTCTAAGCACAGCATGAGTAGCGCTGGCTGCCACATCTCTGCATTCGTGGCTTGTGTGGCATTCACAAAAGCAGGTTTTCCTTTGGCAGACCAGCTGGAGCAATGCTGAGACTTGCCTAGGATGCGCGTCCAGGCCCGAGGGCCCTCCAGCGCTCCTGAGACCCTTCCCTGGAGAGAGCCTATCACTTTAGATCAGAATGCCCGAGAGGCAGGCCACGTTATTTTCTCTAAGGGAAAGCGCTGTGGAGAAAAAGGAGTGGCAGAATTCAGTGGAACTTTAAGTACAGATGCTACTTGCCTTAAGATAGAATTCTGTCCCAATACACCCTTCATGAGTTGAACATAAAAATTTTAAGTCGAAAATGCATTTAATACACGTAGCCTGCTGGACGTCAGCGTTGGCCTAGCCTAACTTACATTTACTCAGAACACTCAGTACAGTTGAGCAGTTATTTTGAGTTTCATCTCAAGAATCGCCTTCCTCCTCTTCTCACCAGAAGCAGGAGGCATAGATGGGTATTCTGTAGAGATGATGGGATGAGAAAACAAATGCAGTCATCAAAAAGTGCTGGCGACAGTCCACTGCGGGCATCGGTGGTCTGCCCTCGTGAACTCGTGGCTGACCTGGGGCCACCACCGCCGCTGCCCAGCATCACTGGAGGATCCCACCTCGCGCGGCTAGCCCAGGAAAAGATCAAGACTCAAAATGCAAAGTATGGAATGCATTACCACTTCTGTGCTATCGCGAAGTCAGAGTCGTAAGTCAGGGACAGTCTGTGATTTGTTCAAATCCATCAGTCACCTGTGGAAGTTCCTTTGTCTGCAGCAGCCAGTCATGCTAACAGTCACTCTTCTGGGTAATTCTCCACCCCACCCCGTGAAGCGATCTCTTTGTAGAACAAAAGCTGGAAGGAACGTTTGAGTTTTTTTATAATCACATATGTATTACTTTCTTTCCAAAGGAAACTTTGGGAAGCTGTGGGAATAGCAACAAGAACAAACTGTCCTTGCTTTTGACCTGGTTCCAGTTTCAAGCACAAAGGGGCTCGAGAGGCAGTCTGGGTTTGAGTCTCAGTTTCGTCACTCACTAGCTATGTGACCTTGGCCCAAGAAACTTCACTCCCTGAGCCCCGATCCCATTAGTGAAATGGAGACAATACTCACACATCACAAGTGGAACGAGGTTGCGTGTGTAAGCAACTCCAGACCTGGCATATAGTGAGTTGTCTACCCTTCCCAAGGGCAGCAGCAGGCCACTGCAAGACAGGGGAACCTGTCACCTTGCCAGTGGCCCTGTGGCTTCCCAAACCGTGGTCTAAGAACCAAATACATCCCCACACAGCAGAAATGGGGGCGAGGCTGGGGCTCTGAGTGGCTGTGCAGGGGCCCTAGGTCCTATGGGATGTGGGCCAGGCCCTAAAGTTTCCCCAGGGAATTGGTGAAACATTTCCTAGCATTAAAATGGTTTCCATAACAACGTTTGTCCTGGTTTCTTAGTATTTGGTACCTGTGGGGCTTATAAGTGTGAGCAGACTTGGGGGGGAGGGGCTCCTTGTCCAGTGGAAGATCCAGATACTCAGGAAGTCCTGCCCTTGGGCTGGAGGTGTCACCCAAGTGTCACCTCATCAGGTCAGAGAGCAGAACTGCTTGGGGAGGGTATAGGGGGAATAAATGGTGACCGGGGAAAAAAAAGAATTTGCCATCAGAGGGTAAGGGCAGGATGTCAATAGTCATAGTGGATCTGTTTGGCCTGTGACAAGTGGCCACGGACCTCTCGTGGCTCAACCACTGCTAAGGGACCTTGCGCCCCACCCCCCCGCCCAAATCTCCATATATCATTTGGAAAATGATCCTCTGACAGTTGCCACTCGGGAGCTGACCTCACAGACCAGGGCTGTTTTCTTCTGCATTCTCCCGATGACACTGGGGAGATGTCCTAGGGCAGCACTGCTGGCCTTTGCGACCAAAGCAGTGTCTTCAACGTGCTCTGGGCCCACAAGGAAATACGCAGCGTCCCGGTGTCTTGAACGTGCTCTGGGCCCACAAGGAAATACGCAGCGTTCCGATCCCAGCTCCACCACCCACCCGGCTGCTGGGTGCTCCTGAGCGAGTCCTAACCAGTGTCCGCTTTCTCAAAAAAGTGATACTCAGACATGTCTCAGGGACCTGATGGAGACTAAATGATAAAGTTGCTAACTGCCTAACGGCGCCTGGTACTTGGTCAACACAGTGATGCCTGAACCTGAGTCTAGACCAACTACCCAAAGGGGCTGAGGGAATACTGCTGCCATTCTGCCAACGAGGCCAAAGGAAGAGCTGTTTAGAAGCCCAGACTTAACTGTACAGAAATGGGTGCTTCTCCTATGATTGCAGCCATTGTGGCTACTCATCCAGACCGACTGAGGAAGCTGGGGCGGCACCAGGAGGTCGCCGGTTCCCTCAGCACATTTACGCCTCCCTGGCTGCAAGGGGTAGTAAAGAAGCCTCTGCTCTCAAGCTCAGCAAAGATAACGAGTGTGGCAAGTCCAGTGAAGACGGCACGCACGGTGCTCTGGGAGCCCACAGCAGGCACTTCGCCCTCTCTCGGGGGCTCAGGGACCTAGAGAACACAAAGCAGTGCTCAAGGATGGGAAAGGCAATCAGGCCGAGGGAAAAGCTTATACAAAGGCTCAGGACAAGAGAAGGGGGCGCATGGGACCATGGGAAGCAACCGGTTCTGTCACAGAAAAAGGGAGCAGAGAGGAGAGCTAGAGAAACTGTCTAGGGCCAGGTCCTGAGTACCTCCCACACCAGACTCGGCACCCAAGTGTTAAGGAAGCCTGTGTTCTCTTGGAACCCGAGGACGGCGACCTCTTCCTGCCCACCACCCGGGTGGCTCAGACCAAACAACTGTGGGCGAGTGGCAGCTCCAGAGCTAAGGAGTCTGCTGCGGGGAAAGCAGGAGCACACACCGAGGATCGGGCAGAAGTGATTTTACAGTGATCTGCTCCACCCACGCCCACGGTGTGACACACCCCTATGTGCCTCTTGCAGCCAGAGGACTAGGACAGAATCCGCCATATTCTGGCTGAAAACAGGATGACATGCTGGTCCTACTGTTTTTAATTACGGAAATCAAGTTGAACATACAAGCCTGTAAACACTGAAATACAGAAATACATAAGCTGCTTTCTAAAACTCTTACTCGAAAACAACACAAATCTGCATGAGGTCCCTCCGGCTACGGGGTGGTGTGGAAGAGAGGGAGACTTTGTAATCGGGCTGACAGTGCAGTGAACTGAAAGGTGGAAGGTGTCCTGTGGAACCAGAGAACGTGGACACAATGCGTGGTCACCAGCAGACGGGCACAGGGGCAGTTAGTTTGCACTCGTACTTGGCTGTGGCTCTCCCTGCTGCTGCTCTTTTGTCTTTGGCTTTTTCTTCTTCTTCTGTTTGGAGAGGCAGCTCAAAGCGGACTCGCCATTTCTCAGAGCAGGCATGAGCACGGGCAGCTTGCCAGACTGAGTTGGATACTTGGTTTTCAGGTCATCTTTAAACAATGGTTGGGAGAGTAAATGGCGCAGCTCCTTCTTCAGGACCTTCATCTGCTTTTGCCTCCGGCGCTCTTCTTGCTGGTCAGCTTTTCCTCCTGGAAACACAACAGGAAAAGGATCACATTTACGGGAAGACAGCTTCCCTTGATGGCTAATACTCTTGAGGACAATGTTTTGGAACTCGTCTGAAGAGGCAGAAGCTGGTGTTGACTAACTTCTAACACAGTTTAGGAGGGATACTCAGGGCCACTCTGTCCTTTACCTCACACCACACCCTCTAAGACAGAAATTATCTTCACCTTACAGTCCAGGAAACTCAAGAGGTCACTTGCGCTGCCTGTCAAACAGATCAGAACCCAAGTCTCCAAACTTGATTATGTTTTCTCCAACAACCCACCCACTTGCAGCCTGGGGTTTGACAACTCGACAGCTACAGACCCCTCAGAAGACAGGCAACACCACTCAGGCAGCCCGGCTCTCCTGGACCTCCCACCAGCACTGCGACCGCACCTGCAGCGGCGGCACAGCCCCAGGGCTCCACCCAGCCTGTCCTCAGGAAGGACGCCAGAGCCCCACACACCTACAGCATAAGCCCCAAGCCCGGGCACCAGGCCAGCGAGCTCAGTCATCCAGCCCACTGGTCTGGTTGCTGGCTTCTATGCTAAGCACAGTAGTGTGTCTGCCTCTGCATCTGCTGGCACTGGCACTGGCACTGGCACTGAGACGCCGGCATCCCAGCCGAGCTGCTCACCTGTGGGCTGCAAGGAGCACTGGCCCTAACTCTGATGCGGTCAGTTACAGATGTGGCTCCACCACTACCTAGAGGGACCGCACGGATGCACCCGAGTCCTTAGCCTCGGGCCCAGGTTAGAGCAGGGGCTCATTTGGTGGAGCTGTTTTCCAACACATATCACTTCCTTCTGTGAGCCCCTAGTTTCCCTAGTGAGAAGGATAATCATTTCTGCTGTTTATGTCATGAGACCATGGAGAAGACCAGGTGAGATGGTGACCACGGCTTCCTTAGCTTAGAAGACAGATATAGTAGTAATGACAATAATGAATCATCTGAAGATGTATTAAATACTTTCTACTTGCCAGTCACTGTTATAAGCACTTTAAAATTTTTTAAATGTATTGATTGTTTTGAGAAAGGGAAAGACAGAGAGAAAGAGAAGGGGGAGGGGGAGGGGGAAGAGAACCTGATTTGTTGTTTCACTTATGTACACATTAATTCATTGGCTGATTCCTGCACGTGCTCTGACCAGGGATGGAACCTGCAAACTCGGTGTATCGGGACAATGCGCTAACCAACTGAGCTACCTGGCCAGGGCTACTGTAAACACTTTAAATTCATTAAGTCAAGCCATCTTCACAACCACCCATAAGGCAGGTACAAAAAAACCTAGACACAGGGAGACTGAGAAACCAAGAAATCTGACCTGGTAACAGCCACTTAAGGGAGCGGGCCGGCACTCAAACATGAGCAGTCCAGCCACAGAGACTGCTCCGAAGTCACTGTCTTCCACACGTGAGTGGGAGCTGAAGGCTCCAGACAAGACAGAGGGAACAAAGGCTGAGGGCTTTAGGCTCATCTGGGACTAGGGCCTGTCACAAAGAAGAAAAGGCATCTTGCCGATTTTGACAGAACCCACGGTAGTGGGGAGGTTCCAGCAAGACCAAAGTCGAAGGGAAAACAAAAGACAAGCTGAATGCGCCCTTGCTCAAGTCCCGCCCAGCCCACCTACCCTTATACATGTCTTCGTCCAGCTCAATCTCCAGGGCAGCTGCTGCCTGCTCGATCCAGGAGTTGTGCAGACAAGCCTGGAAGTTCCGATACTCCGCTTTCTCGATCTGTCGAGCCAGCTGGATTCGCTCCTAGAAAAGGAACAGAAAGTGTTCATCTGATAAAGGGTTCAGGACGCTGGGAAGCAAAGTCTATTAAAGCTGTGTCTTTTAAACCACCCTGAGATCAGTGGTTCGTGATAAAAAGGCAGAGGGCAATCAGTACATGTGAGTGTACCCAGAAAATCACAAGAGCTGGTGTTTCAAACAAACCTGCACCGCCTCCCAGGAGCCCACCGTGGTCGGACTGCCAGTCTACAGGTACGCAAGGAAATTCTTTCCCAGGCACCGCAGCTGGCTTCCATAGCTGAGCCGAGACCCTGAAGCGCCCCAAGGGCGCAGAGTTAGGGCCCAGCTCTCAATCACAGGAACAACAAACTCAAAACTGCCTTCCCTCTCTTTCATGCTATCCTTGGAGAAAAACATTTCAACTCTCCCTCTCATGGGTGTTGAGGTCAGACCACAGTGACAGGACACACCAAAACAAAAAGGAAAGGTCTGGCAATGTGAGGGAGAGGAGCCACAGAGAGCCAGGGTGGCTGCTGACCCTCCTTCCCTAAGGTTACCCTCTCATCTCACCTTTACATTTGCAACCCCCACCGTCTTTCCCCACATGGCTGACATGCCTTCTAGGCCAGAGGAGATAACGGTTCTTGACTGTTCCAAGATTTACTCCCTCAATTCCTGGAATTTCATCTCCTCTTCACCTCTTCGCCTTCAGGAAGCTGGGAGGAAACCTCATCTCCTACCAATGCGACCATGTGCCCACTAGCCCCACAGGACTCCATCTGTACTGAACTTGAGCATGACCCTGGCCTGCCCATAGCCAGTGGATCTCCAGAGAACGCACCCCGCTTTGCTATCTGATGCACTCCGGCCCACAGTAAGCAGTACCCACTGACTGCCTATAACGTTAAAATAAAACCCCAAAGGTAGGAATTATTGGCATCTGCTTCAGGACTATGACAAACCTTGAGTATCTGCCTCAGCAAGACAGGCTGACCTTCCCTCCCTACAACCATCCCACGGGATGTCCAGGCAGCAGGGCTTACTGCCCTGTCCAGAGGAGGTGGAGAAGGCTTCAGACACAGACAGTGCAGAAAGGGTTCAGGATAAAAATTCCTCTTTTGGCCACTCACTCTATCCTCCTTATGCCAGGTCCAGTGCCCCATTCCATTGTTTTTGTGTTTATTTGTATGTATCTCCCCGTTTAGCTCTTGGCAGAATCACTACTTAGTTTCCAAGGGTTAGACCTGCAAGGTGAGGGAGCACGATCCCTCCCCTCATTAGCACTAGGCCTTCCGCTTCTCTTTACCTTGACTGCGTCCATGTACTTTGTCTCCACAGGGAACAGTGGGATGTCCTCATCTTTCTTGAGGGTTTTGTAAATCTTCTTAAAGTTGATCACGTCCTCAGGCCCAATCAGCATCAGGCTGAGACCTTCATTGGTAGCACGTGCAGTTCGACCACTTCGGTGGACATAAATCTCCGAGGTGCGAGGGACCTGTCAAAGGAGGAACCGGGAGGTCAACATATGGCCATCACCAAACAGTGTCCTCCCCTCAGTGCAGCAACACAATGCTGGATCCTCCTCCCTCTCAGCCAGGCAGCTAGGAACCTCTCCAGCATGTGGACTGGTCCAGCCCTTTCCCCCCAGTCCCACATTGAAACTGTCCCCAGGTTTATTCCTCATTCATTGTACAGGCTCTGCCCTGGTTCAGGCCTTCGGACTTCTCAAGAGGAAAATGGTAGTCACTTCTCCTTTGGTCTCTGATCCTCGCCACGCTCCCTGACCCAGCCCAAAGCTGCCAGTGTCGTCTTCTTGAGACAGAGTTCTGACCATTATATCCTCTCTAAAAACTCCACTGGTTCTTCATGGACTCTGCATGGATGACTGATGATAGTAATCATAACAAACATTTATTGATTACAATGTGCCAGGCGATTCTAAGCACTCTGCATGTATTATCCCACTTATTCCTCACAAGTGGATGCTTTTAAGATTATCTATATTATAGAACAGGAAAACCAAAACACAGATATTAAGCAATTCCTCCTAGGTTATCCAACTACAGTAAGTGGTGAAGCCAGGATTCGAACTGAAGTAGGCCAGTTCCAAAGACCTTGCTAACCCTAAGCCAAGCTGTCTTTACAACAATATATATTATATTATTCACTGATAATGTGGCAGGGTCCTGACCCCTCTGCTTCCCCTACTCTCATGGTACACCACTAATCAATATCAGTCTTCTCCAACGAGCCCAGATAACGCTCAACATCTTTTCCAATGCAGTGCTCTAAGCGCCATTATGAAAGGGCCATAATGGTGCTAGAAATGAGATCTATTGCCACTCCTCCCTTTCCTCTCCCAACACAACCCCTCTTCTCACTCAGATAACTGCCCACTCCCCCTGTTCTTTCCTCCTTCCTTTCCTACCTCTACATGCCCACATCCTTCCTACCCTTAAATGCCAAGCATCTTTAGTTTTTTAATTGATTATGTTTTATTCATTTTTTTATTTTTATTTATTTTTATTTTTTATTTTTTTTTTTTATCCTCACCCGAGGACATTTTTCCATTTTTTGTTCAGGTAGAGTGGGAGGGAGAGAGAGGAAGAGAGAGAGAGAGGGAAACATCGATGTGAAAGGGACACATCGAGTGGCTGCCACCCGCACGACCAACCAGGGCCGGGGACAAACTGCAACCGAGGTACGCGCCCTTAGCGGGAACCGAACCCGGGTCTCTCAGGACCGCAGGCCGACGCTCTAACCGCTGAGCCAAACCGGCCAGGGCTATTCATTTTTTTAGAGAGGAAGCGAGAGAAAGAAACATCGATCAGTGAGAAACATCGACTGGCTGCCTCCCGCATGCCCTCTATTGGGGATGAAGCTGGCAACCCAGGCATGTGCCTTGACTAGGAATCGAACCAGTGACCTCTTGGTGCATGGGACAACACACAATCCACTGAGCCACACAGTCAGGGCAATGTTTTTTATTTTGCATTGGTTGATTCTTATGTGTTCTGACTAGGGATTGAACCCGTAACCTTGGAATATCAGGACGCTGTTCTAACCGAGCTACCCAGCCAGGACTCTCTCCCATTGTATTTTGAAACTTTCAAATATCTTCTGCCTTAATCTATGGCTGTAGTCACCTCATCTCCTCTAGTGGATTTGCTACTTTTTAGGGGCTAGAACTGTATATTGTCATGGGATATAACTTTCACAAAGATCGACCCAGCCTCTTCCCCAAAAAGATTTGCTAAACTGAATTGCCACCCTAAAAAAACATTTTCTTAAGCATGAAGGACTAAAAAGGAGAAATAATAATGCCAGAATAGCTACCTTTATTGAGTACTTACACTGTGCTAGATGCTTCAGCAGCATTAGCTCATTTAATTCTCTCCTAACTCTATGGGGTAGATAACATTATTACTCCCAACTTACAATCAATGACACTGAAACCAGAAATGCTAAGTAACACGCCCAAAGCTAACCAACTATGAAGCAGCCAACACTCACCAAACCATGGAAGTGTGGCTCTAAAGCCCACACTCTCAGCACCACTCCATGCTAACATTCACTAGGGGCATGCACCAATATTAACGTCAGTATCAGCAGCCACTAACACTCATTAAGTGCTTACGATCTAAGCTCTTCAATGTAATAACTTATTTTACCTTAATAAGAACTTCAGAATTAGATACTATAATAACTGCCACTTAACAAATGAGAAAACAGTGGTACAAAGAGACTAAATAACTTGCTCAAAGTTATACAGCTGGGATTTAAGCGCAGGCAGGTCTTAACTATCACCCTTTTCTATTTCTCTACACCAAAGTAACCACTTTATATGCTAAACTGATTAACCCCATTTCATGGAAGAAACTAAGACTTTAATCTCCCAGTGTCATGTAGCTTGCCCGAGTAAAAGAGAAAGGGGCTCTCTGATATCAGGCAATGCCAAGAGGTTCTGAGAATAAACCTCACCAGTATTCCAAAAATGGCAGCAGTAGTCTGTCACTAGATGCCAGTGGTACTCTCTGTTGCATGAGGCTTTGAGACTGATAATTCCTCCTTCCTCTCCCAACCATTCTTTAAAAATTCCCCATTTGATGCTGGGAAATGTCTACAATGCCCCTACCTGGTAATGGATGACATGCTGGACTTTAGGAATATCCAGGCCCCGAGCTGCCACGTCTGTTGCCAGGAGAACACAACTGTGATAAAGAAAGAAAGCTCATTAACAATGCCTAATAGCTAGCACTAATCAAAGTCTTACCGCCTGCTGAGTACTCTAAACACTATAGCCCTTACAAACCCTTACAAATACTATGTATGTATCTCCCTTTAACCTAGGCTCAGAGACATTAACTTCCCAAGGTACACACATGGCTGTAACGAACAAGCCCCACTCTGAATACTAAAGACCACCTCAAGTGAATTAAGTGAAGCCACACATATTCCAGGTGGGTGACCTCACCTCCTATCACTCTCCCACTTCCTTCCTTCCTGTTACACAGGTGGCCTTGCTCTTCCTCAAACATGCCGAACATGCCCTTGCCTTCAAGCCTTTGCACTTGTTATACCTAAGGTCTTCCTCGATAGTCACATTTCCTTCCTCCATTCTCTACTCCAAGTTCACCTTATCAGAGAAGCCTCCCTGGCCACACACACAGTCTGCACAACTCCCCATACAACTTTATTATTTAGCACTTACTAGCTCCTGACAAACGATACACTTACTTTTCAGTTTACTGTTTCCCTCCACTGGAACATAAACTCCATGAGACCCTGCATTATTCACTGTGCTATGACCAGCCCCTACAACAATGCCTGGTTCACAGTAAGAACTTGATAGTATGTGTGGGGTGATGTTTCTTAATGTATGCATAGTTTGAAAAAAGTCAAAACACTTGAGGTCTGTCTTAAAGACTAAGATTCTGGGCCCTTCAGGGTCTGAACTCCCTGTACCTCTGAGGTAGGGATGAGAATTATGATGCAAACTAAAGTATGTAAACCATTACAAACTTTAAAGTTTGGAAACCACTGCTCTAAGTCAAGGTAGGCAAAGTTTTTCTATAAAGGGCCAGATTGTAAATTATTTTTGACTTTGTGGGTGATAGTCTCTGTTGAAACTACTCAACTCTGCTGTTATAGTGCAAACACAGGCACAGACAATACATGAATGGGCCTTGCTGTGTTCCAATAAAAATGTACTAATAATGCCTGGCTGGTGTGGCTCAGTGAACTGAGCAGTATCCCATGGACTGAGAGGTCCTGTTTCAATTCCCAGTCAGGAAACATGCCTGGGTTGGAGGCTTGATCCCCAATGAGGGGGCATGTATGAGGCAGCTGATCAGTGTTTCTCACATCAACGTTTCGCTCTCACATCAATGTTTCTCTTTCTCCCTTCCTCTCTCTCTCAAAAAAATAAAAACTTATTTTAAAAAGATTTTTACTAATAAAAACAGGCAGTGAGCCCTGGCCAGGTAGCTCAGTTGGTTAGAGCATTGTCCCAGTGCACTAAGGGTGTAATTTCAATCCCCAGTCAGGGCACGTACAAGAATCAACCAATGAATGCCTAAGGAAGTGGAACAACAAATCAGTATTTCTCTCTCTCTAAAAAAAATCAATTAAACAAACAAAAACAGGGACTGGGCCCATGAGGCAGTTTGCCGAGCTCTGATCCAGTAAACCACTAACTCTACCTACCAACATTCAAAGGGAGTTAACCAGATACTTGTTCTGGAAACGAATCACCCTGTAACCTGACAAAAAACACTGTGGGCAGATGCCGATTCAGATCAGCCTCCACCTCCCCGACCCTCATCTTGACAATCTGCATCTGCTGCCAGAGCATGTGGGGGCACAGTATGAGCCCTGGAATCTGCCAGGCGGAGAAACCTTGGGCAAGCTGACTAGCTTTTCCAGACCTTACTGTTTTCACCTATGAGAATAAGAAGTGAAAGTAAAGCTAACGTTTAGCAAGTACATACTACATGCCAGGCATTGTTCTGAACACTTTATATGAATAAATTCACTTAATCTTCATAGCAGCTCTCTGAGGTGGCTTCCACTATCACACTAATTATGAGACAACTGAAAGAGAGAAGGAATTTGACCAGCTAGAATCGGCACAGCCAGGATTTGATTTCAGGCAGTCTGGTTCCATCTGTGCTCTTAACTATCAATCTATTCTGCTTCTCCTCAAGAATGTGAGACGTGTGCCCTGGCCAGTTTGGCTCAGCGGTTAGAGCGTCAGCCTGTGGTCCAGAGAGACCCAGGTTCGGTTCCCGCTAAGGGCATGTACCTCGGTTGCAGTCTGTCCCCGCCCTGGTTGGTCGTGCGGGTGGCAGCCACTCGATGTGTCCCTTTCACGTCGATGTTTCTCTCTCTCTCCCTCCCACTCTATCTGAACAAAAAATGGAAAAATGTCCTCGGGTGAGGATAAAAAATAAAAAAAAGTCAGAAGTGAATGAATGTAGTAATGTATCTAAAATACCAGCACAGTACTTAAATCTATTGCTAAGTGTTCAGTAATGGTGGGTATTATTGTCACCATTGCTCATTATCAGGAAGTTTCTGTTGGGCATTAGCAGCCACCAAATGCACTAGGTGAGGGTGAGCCTACCTCATGCTGTGCAAAACAAGGATGCCTTCCAGTGATAAGGCCCCCATGACAGAAGGAAGCTTCCCGCTGTCTCCCCACCACCCCGGCAACCTTGCCCCAGTGGCTAGAGGTTGAGCTCTGGGACAGTCCTGACTTACTCTTCCAGACGAGCAAACTGCTCCAGGTTTCTGAGCCTCTGCTTCTGGTGCATGCAGGCATGGAGGGTCAGCGGCATGATGTCTAAGACTTTGAGGAGCCCGGAGAGGCGTTTGATGCAGGAAATACTGTTGGCAAACACTAAGGTGCGGCCTGGATACTGCATCAGGAAGTAGTACAGGTATAAGTCTTTCTCATCATTCTCACAATGGATCTTGGTCTCTGTCAGTGTCTCCACTGTGGCCTCATTTCTTGTGAGGTCAATGACCTTGGGCTTGCCCCTCATGCCAATCTTCTGCATGAGAAGGTCAAGTTTGGCAGTTTTGTCAATTTTCTTGGTGTGCTTCTTGTGAAGGATTCGAGCAGGAGCTTGATGTACCAGGGTCAGTGTGGCAGAAAAAACAAGTGTCTGTCTCTTCGGGTTGTACTGGGAGTCGCTGAGCATCTCTAGCAGCTGTGAGAGCTCAGCAAAGTGGCCTTTCTCAACCATCCGGTCAGCCTCATCGATCACCAGGCACCTGAGATGACGACAGACCCGCATAAGCTGGCAAAGGGCAGGTAAGAGGAATCACCTAGAGCACTCTACCACCCGCCCCCCTCAACCCCTCCCCTCATGAGGGCCTCAACTAATCTTCATGCATGCTTGGTTTTCTAAAGGCCAAGGTCTGGCTGCTACCACATCATGACGCATTGTGACAGGGAGGAGGCCCACTTCAGAACGGACGGGTGGACTGCCGGCTCTCACCTGAGCTGCCGCAGGTTGCTCAGATGAGGGTGCTTCTCTTTGACTAGCTCCCACAGCCGGCCGGGCGTGGCGACCACAATCTCAGGCTGGCGGTTCAGCATCCTCTGCTGTTTCTGCGTGGACATGCCACCAACCAAAATAGCCGTTTTAATTCCTATGGTACACAAACATAAGGGACACTGTTGTTCAGTTTAGCTGCTTTTCTTCCACAGCTGACACAGGCACCCCCAGGTTAGCAGAGGCAGTCAGGTACCCACATAGCTCCCCTCTCCAGGGGGTGCTGAGAGCTGACATGGCCTTACTGCTGGGGCCACTCCGGAGGACTTACCAAGTCTTCTAGGATCTGGGCCTTGCCTACTTCCCGACCTCATTTTTCTCCTGCTTCCTCTCCAACCACAACAGAAGCGAAACATGTGAACCCAAACATGCTTACATACAAAGCTCCAGAAAAACTGAGCACTGCCACACTACAACTCTGGGAATAATGTTACTGTAGCCGTGACACACCTCCCCTAGGAGGCCCTGCCCATTCCCCTCAATCAGAATTAATCTGAATCTCTTCTAATGCCTAATATTCTTCTCTTCTTCCTGGTGGACGACTTCTCAAGGTATTCAGTGTGGAAGAAAAACACTCAGAGCCATGCAGACAAAGCACTTAGCAAAGTATGTCACACACAGTAAGAGCTTGGTAAATAACGGCTGCTTTTATTATAAAATGCAAACTCCCACTGCGCAGTTCTTCCCAAAGGAATTCCATGAGAGAATTAAGCTCTAATGCCCTAAGGCAGAGGTCCACAAAGTTTTTCCTAAAGGGTCAAGCATAGACATTTTTGACTTTGTGGGCTAAATGGTCTCTGACACAACTAACTAACTTGACTCCACTCTGCCTTGGTGGTACAAAAGCCAACATATAAACAAAGAGGTGTGGCTACACTTTACTTACAAGAACAGGTAGTTTGCCAAACCCTGCCCTAAGCATCCATTGTAGCCAAGAAATTAATACCCTGTGCATCTAGAATGGCATTAGCTATGTGACATTCTTAGGACAACTGAGAAAGTGTCACTCAATTTTCTGTAGACCTTAATTCTCTGGCAGATTAGAAAAGTTTCCCTAGAGGCAGTAACCACAGCTCATTCACCTTTGCCACCCCAGCACCTAGGACCCTCTCAGGAAATAGTTATTAAATGGAACTCAACTTCACCTGTAAACTTGGCCACAGCATCAATGTGTTGTTTGACCTGGACGGCTAGCTCTCGAGTGGGAGTCAGAACCAGCCCAAGGAGAGGACGCTTTGGATGTGATTTATAGGTGATGGTTTTGCCACCCAACTCTTGTTTTAGCTTTCCAGTCTGCTCTTCATCAAGCTTTTCCACTTTGCCCTCATCCTGTTTGGGGACAGGCTTCTCCCTGATCAGGGAAGAAGGTCCTTCACCAGCATCATCATCATCACAGAAGGGCAACACCTGGTCTGAGATGGCAGCACCAGTCTTGGCTCTTGCCTTGCTGGATGGTGTTCTAGCCTTCGTTCCAGCTTCAATGAGCAGTGCTTCTCCCTCAATTCCAACCTCATCAGACAAGGGTCCAGACTCTGTTTCAGCCCTGCTTGGTGATCCAGTCTCAGCTCCAGTCTCGCCAGGTGGCACTGCTGTGTTATTCACAGCTGGGGTAGGCTTCTTCACCAGCCACTGCAGCACGGAATGAATCATTGGAATGGCAAAGGCAAGAGTTTTCCCACTGCCTTAGAAGTAAAACAAACAAAAAACAGTGAGAATCAACAGATGCACATACCTTTGTCTTGGGGTCTTTCTTTTACATAGAATAAGGAACCCCTGAAATAGCAAAGTGCCACCCTGACCAAAGCCCCTCCACCCTACATAGGTTCCTTACAGCATTGTACCTATAACCAGGAGCGTGAGGAAAATCTGGCTAAATTGGCACTGAAACCTGAGGTCACCAATGACAAACTACAGACAAATGTCCAAGCAATGAAACACTACAGAGATGGGCAAGTTGTATGTTTTGTTGTTGTTGCTAAGGAAAAACACACAGTGGAGGAATAAGAAATGGAAATCCATATAATACTTTCCCAAGATATTTCTTTGATGGGGAAGGAAGAAGTAAAAAATATATATTTCTTAGTTTTTGAGAAAATTTTAAATTAACATACTTTTGTTAATTTACATACTTTTGTTTGAACATTTCCAACCTGGCCTCTGAATGTATATGGAGTCCAAATTCCTATCATCTTGGTGGTCAATACAAAACAAAACACCTCAAGCTGAGAATTTATAGTAGTTCCAAAGTTATAAAGCCTAGGCAGAAGCAATTAAATAAGCTCTGGAAGAAGAAACCTTTATCATAGGCCTCAAAGAAGTCTCACAAATAATTTTCAGAGGAAAATGAGCAGCTCTCAGAATGTAAAAACCCACAAGAAAACAAGCAGGAACTCTTAGAAGGAAAACAAAGAGCAAAATCAGACCCACAAAATTTCAGATAAGAAAACAGCCCTTTCCATTAGAAACAACGAAAGCTAGAAGACAGTGTAACCCTATTTGTATCTGAAGACCTGAAAAAGTAACCAACAATCTAGAACTCTATACTCGGTACAAATTTCTTTCAAAAACAAATGCAAGATAAAGATATTTCTAGGCATACAAAAACTGAAACAATTTATCATCAGACCTGAACTATAAAAAATATTAATCCTCATGCAGAAGAAAATCTAGATCAACAAAAAGGAACGAGGAGCACCAGAAATGGTAATGTGAGTAAATGTAAAAGATGTCTTTTTCTTATTTAAACTTCTCTTAAAAATAACTACCATTGACCATTTAAAGCAAAAAAAAAGTATTTTGAGATTTCTAAAACATATAAAGTATAACAAAAAGCACAAAGGAGAGAAAAAAATGAAAATATCAGAGGTTGCCTGGGGATGAAAAGGAAGGAGGCCAAGGAAGGAGAGATTACAAAGGGGCCCAAGGTATCTTGTGGGGGTGATGGGTGTATATATATATATGCATTATCTACACGGACAGCAGTTTGTCCACAGGCCCAAGCCTTTTTGAATCTGGGATGTGCAGATTCACAACATTCCATGCAGATGGCCTGATAATAGCTGTGGCAAAATTCCACAGTGGTTCACAACCTCGCCCCTCTACCTTTCAGAGACCCACTTCCAGGCCTCTGCAATCCCAACGCAATGCAGCCAAATGCTTACCAGCACAGACCCAGTCTAGAATCCAGTCACCACCATTTCAGCTGTGCAGTTTCAGGGACGCTGTCTATCCTTGGTGATGCCAAGCTTCCGCATCAGTAAGATAGGAATAATAATGGAGCTTAGCTCGGGGTGGCTGTGAGAACTTAACACAGGGCATTTTAAATGCTAAGTAAATGTTAAGTTGTCATTATTACCTCCATTCCTCTTCTTGGGGGTTTCCTCGCTCTTCCATCTATGTGACTCTTATACAAGACCCCCCCCAAGTTTCCTGACCACGTCCAGAAGGCACTAAGTGTCTAGATGGTCTAGTCATGTCATACAATATCGTAGTCACCAACCACATAAAGCTACTGAGCACTTAAAACGTGGTGACTCTAAATTGAGATGTGCTGCAAGTTCAAACTACACACCAGATTTTCAAAACTTAGTATAGAAAGAAATGTAAAATAGCTCATTAATAATTCTATGTAAATTACATATGAAATATTCTTTTATAAAATCAGTTAAATATATTGTTAAAATTAATTTCACCTCTCTTTTTTACATTTTTAACATGGCTCCTAGGAAATTTAAATTATATGTGGGTCACAGTATATATATATATATATATATAAAACTGCTGTTTTACTTGGACTAATAGTTCCAGGCAGTACAAGCTGCTCCCCACAGTCAGTAGTTTAGTCCACCCAGGGAAAGTCAACCTGTCACTGCTTCAAAATCTTAGCTGGTTTGGGGAGTGAGGGAACTTGAAACAATGCCTAGTCCCAACATCACCTCATGCCCACATCTGCCTACGAAGTCCACCTAATGGTTATCTACCATACACTCAAATCCTTCCAATGATGATAAACTCACCAACTCCCAAAGCAGTCCTTTTTATCTTTGGACAACTCAAGAATTAGACACTTCTTTCTTATACTAATGAAGACCTACCTCTCCAAAGGGCTGATCTGAGCCCTACTTTACTCCTCTGAGCCATTTAGAAAAGGCTCAAGAACAAGAAAAAACTACCATTTGCAGATCATTTACAATAAGTGTAAATTTTACTCTACTGTAGCATTTTACCTTTAACCCACACAGCAGAAGAAACAGGTACTGCTGTTATCTCCATTTTATAATGGGGCCTATACTGCTCAGAGAGATAAAGTGACTTGCCTAGGGTACCAATCAGGCACTGGAAGATTTCAACCCAGAGCTGGCTGACTTCTAAACACCTTCATTTAACACTGCTTTCCCGGTTATGATCCCAGCATCCCCTTCCCTCCCAGTCATCCAGACTGTTAGCAGCTACAGGTTCAATCCAAAAGCAATCTTGCCCTGGCCAGATAAGGGTGCCCTTACCTGTCTCAGCAGCCCCAAGGATGTCCAGTTTATCACGGATGGCAGGTGCCAAGGTGAGAGCTTGGATTGGTGTGGGTGCAGAGAAGCCTAGAAAGCTGAGTGCACGGAGAACTGGCTTGGGTACAAACAGATCCTTCCAAGCTGATACGTCTGCCTTCTGGTCACGCACTTCGGGTATCCATGTCTTTGCTTTTTTCGGTACCTTTGGAGTAGTACTCTGGGAAGGCTCCGATTTTTTTTTCCCTTTCTTTTTCTTCTTTTTTGAAATAGCCACGGCCAGGCTTCCTGATGCCATCTCCTCTACTTCTGGATCAGAACAAACTGTGCCATCTCCCTGGGGCTCTGGCTCAGCATCTTTGTCCTCAAACTCTTTCTGGGCACTGGTTCCTTCAGTTTCTACATCTTTGCTCTTTTTCAACTTCATCTTTTTCTTTGAGGAGCTACACTCTCCTTCCTCCTCTCCTTCTAAAACAGCTTGGGCCTTTCTCTTCTTGGGTTCCTCCTTTGAGAATAGACTGGAGGGATTCTTGGCAGGGGAGACCAAATGGTAATCTGTCAGTTCTTCAAAACATACCAGGTCATCCATCTGTCCATCTGCAAATATATTTGGGTCAATCTTCACTTGCTTCCATTTTCCCACAACCTTGATTCCCTTTGTCTGAAATTTGCCATAGCTTGGTGACTTTGGCCTTGATTTTTTCTCCTTCAACTTCATGGTTGCTGAAAACGAGAGAGAAATGTTCCATTATATTGGCAACTGAGAAGCACAGGATTCTGAGGCAATACATATTTTCTAAGCAGCCTATCGAATATCAGGCCCTGCAAAGAACTGATGACACAAAGATGACTCCAACACTGATGTTCCCGGCTAGAGAAGACCAAAGGAGGAAAGAAACACACCCACAAAGCAGGCAGCTTGGCCTGCACAGAGGGGACACAGAGACGGAGCAAAGATCTGAGCTAGATCGGGTCCGGATTCCAGATCCACTACTTACGGCATGTGTACCCTTGGAAAGCCCTATTTAACCCTCTCTGCATCTGTGTGCTCATCTGAGCTCACCATACAAGGAAGAAGGGCCTAATAATATCTAAATCACAAAATGTTTGATGCAAGCCATTTTGAAGGCAGAATAAAAAAAATTTTTATGGGAGGCGGGGGCTGAGGGGGCCTGCTTTATTAAAAGCCACCAGATTTTCTTCTTCTCAAATCTTGCCTCAAGAGGGAAAATAAATGCCCATTTCACCATTCTGACCTATGCAGATGGTTTAAAATCGCCCAGCTCTCTCATCACACGTGACGTAGAGAACCACCGAAGCACTCGTGTAGTTTGAGCGGAACTCAGAACGGCTAGGAAAACAGCACCCCGCGGAAAAGAGACCGAGGTGAACTCCGGTCTGAGGCCGGGCACCACTCGCCCGCTCTGCGTCTGTGCTGGGCATACGATGACCCCCGCGAGCCTCGGTTCCCTCGTCTGCAAAGCCGGGGTGCTGTGGCTATTCGTTTCCCGGGATCCTCAAGCGAACACCAAAGGGTGACGCACGTCAAAAACCGCTTGGCGCGGCGCCCCGCGAGGGGAGCACACCTGCACGCGGGAAGGCCCGCCCCCCGAACCCGCCGGCCAGGATCACACACAACCGAGGTCAACGACGAGAGGCGTGGGCGACGGGGGCGCAGACAGCCGCCCGCAAAGCACGCAGGGCCCGTCCTCCCGGCGCCCGGCCCCCTGATCTGCGCTTATGCCTGGCCCCACGCACGAACCGGAGAAGCCGAGGCCTCGGGCCTTGAAGCCCACAGCAGGGGCCCCGGCGCGAGGTCGGTAGGCTGCTTGGATAGGCCGCTCTCGCAGTACCCGAGAATCAATCGTGGCCAGAAGGGGCCCGCGACGGGCGCCCGGGAGCCCGCCCCCAGCTCCTCTCCAGCTCCGCCACGCACCGTGTGGAGACGCCGCCGCGGCTCCCTCAGACGCCGGCCGGCCAACCGCCTGCGAAGACGCCACCGAATGCTGCAGCGCGGACCGCAGTTCCGGGGCGGAGCTTACGCTCACGCACCTGAGCGCTCTGCGGCAGGAAGTCCCGCCCCCATTCTAGACGCCGCCACTTGATTCGCTGCCGCGCGGGACCTGGGCCTTCAGCCGGCGAGGGACGTGCAGGGAGATTAGACTGGGCTTCTGGGGCAGGGCTCCTTCCACGCCTAGGGAGCCGGCGGCGGCCGCTGGCTCCAGGCGGAAGGGCTCTAAGCCGGCTCACGCGCGGGCACGCAAGGTTATTGCCTTCTACTTTTAGTTAAGTGGCTGGCTCCGTGTTGAGTACCTACTGTGTGTTTGAAGCTTTGCAAACGGTTTAGCAATTAATTTCCGACCCAACTAGCCTGTATTGGAAGTGCTATTTTCTGCAGTTTTTTCCTGCCTCGCTTATTGTTCATTCATGGTGAGGGTAGGTTGGCCTGATTCTAAAGCCCAGGCTTTAACAACCAAGCTAAACTGGCCCCTTTGTTATATGCAGAGAAGTCAGCTTCACAGTCTGGGGAACTTTCCCCATACACTGCCTGGTGACCTTGGGAAGTCCTAAAGAACAGTGGGGGAAACCACCATGGTCACTTAGGTCAAGTGAGCCTCCCTGACCCTTTGGAGGCACCATGAGACAGAACTCAACTCATTTATTGGGGGAACTTGCCAGTGTGTCTCCAAGAGTAGGGGTGATATAGAGCCAAGTGGTGCCTGAGAAAACCCTGACAGGATTGGAGCTGTCCCTGATGGCAGAGTGAGAAGGAATGGCTGCATGTCCCTCTGTGGCAGGACAAGGGTTCCTGTCTCCTCTGGGCCAGTTACACACCTTGGAGGGTGAGCTTTGGCCATTAACCTTTTACACTGATAGTTGGACTGTTGGACTGTTCTAGAGGTATTACTGAATGGGGTCTGGGCCTGGAGTGGGTCTGCCTTGGGCCCACCAGTAGTGTGTGGGTCCTTGATTTTGTGTGGGAAGGATTTCACAAGTCCAGGTGATTTTGAGAGTATGTGTATTAAAGCTGAGGACAGTGAAACAAAGGAGGGACTTAGGGTAGAAGAAGCAACAGGAGAGAGCCTACGAGGTGCTCTGCTTTGGATCCTTAGAAACATAGGAAAGAAGTAAACCAAGGCAGGGCTACTGTTAGCTCACTGGGAAGTCAGAGAAAAAGGGGGCCTTGGAGACAGAATCAGGGGGTTAACCTGGGATGAGCTGGTGCTGCCCACTGCTCCCCTGGTTACAAGTCTTATGGGGACCCGTAGAGTTTAGGAGGAAGTGAAAAGTTCATGCTCGGGAAGGGGCATGGGCATGCTCTAGAGCAGTGGTTCTCAACCTTCCTAATGCCGCGACCCTTTAATACACTTCCTCATGCTGTATGTGGGAGGACCGCCTGGAGACGGATAGAGGAGCGGTGTCTCATCTCCTAAGACCATCGGAAATACAGTGATACCTCGGTTCTTGAACGCCTTGACTTTCGACCAAATCGGTATTCGACCAGGAGATTCGAGAAACTTTTGTCTTGGAATCCGAACAAATATTTGGAACTCGAACTTCCGAGATGAGCCGAGTTGAGCCGAATGGCGTTCATTCGGCCCAGCGCGCCTTGCTAGCGTCATCAGTGTGAGTGCAGAGAGAGAGTCACGCTTTGTGGAGAGAGTCACGCTTTACACTGGATTTAACCCTTAGACATACTGTACACTTTTATTTCTTGTTGAGACTTATGTTTTTCTACATATTATATACAAATTAGGCCAGTAAATAGGCATTTTCTGGGGCTTGGAACGAATTAATCCAGTTTCCATTATTTCCTATTGGGTTTCATTGCTTCGGTTCTCGAACAATTTGGTTCTCGACCGTCCTCCTGGAACGAATTATGTTCGAGAACCGAGGTATCACTGTATGTGTTTTCTGATGTTCTTAGGCGACTCCTGTGAAAGGGTCGTTCGACCCCCAAAGGGGTTGCAACCACAGGTTGAGAACCGCTGCTCTAGAGCCAACTTACACTGGGTCTTTGTCTTGGAGGGTTATTAAACTCTTTTCATCTGTGGGCAAGAATCTTAGGGGAGGATTTCAGTCGAACATTCATCAGCTTTCCAGGTGTGTTTTGAATATGCTGATGCATCAAAATGAGCCTATAGGGGAGTTTGGGGTTATTCTTTGGTCTGCTTTATTGTTTCACTTTTATCTTGGGTCTGCCTGGTTTAATGGGATTTTTGTTACTTGTTCCCCTGACTTGACTTGTCCTTGGGTTTGGTTGGCACAATTGGGTCTCTGTTCTCTATTTTCCCAGACCAGGATGAATTAAAGTATGTAGTCTCTGGTTAGGGAGAAGAAGTATAAGCTATTTGCTCTCAAGTGTCCTTCGTTAGGGAAGATAAGGTCATATGATTCACTAGCTGGCTGTAAATTGTTCATATTGTTTGGCCTTGTTTAATTTTCTTATCTCAGTTTTCCTATCCTACTTGCCCAGAACTTTTCCTTCTTACTATCCTGCCACAAAGGGATTAACCCCATGGCTTGGATAATGGGAAGCAAAGGGGTAAGTGACCATGAATAAGCCCTTGTGAGATCAGGATATGTGGAAAGACATTTGGATCTACCTGCAAGAACCCGAGGCAGTCCTGTTTTCCACATCCTGGCTCATAAGGCACTGACACCCCTTGACAGTCAGGAAGTACACCCTAGCTCCTGTACCAGCTGTAGGAGCTGACCCTTCAGTAGATACAGATGACTGATGCATAAGAAAGCGGCCACAGCATTGCCTGGGTGGGATGGCAGATTACCCTTGAAATACAGTGACTCGGTTAATACAGTAGCAGCATGTCCTGTGTGTTCTAAACAATACCCAAAGCAACGGCCTAAGGAGTGTGGGGCCATCCACCAGAATTCCCAACCAGTGAAACATGGCAAAGTGATTATATTGGCTCCCTCCCTGTGAGTGAGGGTTCTAAATATGCCTCGGTTTATATGGACATTGCATCTGACTTAACCCAAGCTTTCCCCTATTGCCCTCCAAACCAGGCGGCCACCTGGGGTTGCATGTTTTCCAGCCTGGGACTTTTTAGCCTGCCCGAGTCCTCAGTAGCCTCACTACACACAGGACTTCCAACATTGCTCTGCCTTCGCAGGCAGTTACTACCCAATGTAGGCAGGGGCTGGGAAGTGGGGCAGGGGAGGGAGCAATAGGACTGCACTCATAGCATCCCTCTTTGCTGTGGTCCCTGGCGGCTGACTGTGACCAGAGGTGAGTATGCTGGGAAGGGAGTTGAGCCCACATTTGCCCTGAGACTTCAGGAGCAACCGGTCTTATTCCAAGCTAGGTTACTCTCAAGCCCTAAGACTTAGGTTGGGTAGGGGGCAGTGGTTAGGGGACAGAGGTGAATAGACCTTGGAGATCAGGGAGCCAGGCAAAGTCATTAACTTAAAAAGCTGAGGTCTGTGCAGATTTGGGGGACGTGCTGGAAGTGGCCCAAAGACTGCTAGAGGGCAGAGGGCAGGGCTCAGGGCATCAGAGAAGTGCCCACGTCCACACCCCCGTCCATCACAGATCAGGCACAGCACTTCGGTGTTCACACTCTGTTTCTAGGAAAGATAGCGGTGACTGTAGGCTGTGCACTTAGTGTTCCCACACTGCAACCAAGATGCCAGCTAAAGCCATAGAGAACGGGGAAGGATTAGCCGCTCATGCCCTCCTGCAGGAGTCTCAGTCAGACGGTGAGTGCCCTCGGGAAGGTTCTGGAGGGTGAGGTGGCCCAGGGTTGGGGGTGCATGGCCCAAAGCAGAGGGGGTCTGAGCAAGCCTCTTCTCTCCTGGGCCTCACCCCACCCCTCTGTAAAATGAGGGACCTGCCAGCTCTCAGTTGGTGGCCTGGTCTCCCTCTCTGTCCTCTTGCATTTGTCTCCAAGCATTCCCATCACCTCTCAGCGCGCTGCCACGGAGGCCCGCTCCCTACATCAGAGTTCTTGGGAGCTTCAGAAAATGGTGGAGGACACCGTGTGGGGCCTTTGGGCCTCATGCCCTCCTCGGGCCTGGAGCAGTGGCCTTGGGTCCCACAGCTGCCCGCCCCCTGTGTGCTTCCTCTCTGCGTCTTTTCCAGAGAAGGGAGAACCCTCCCCGCCATCCTCCACTGGTTCTGCTCCTGGGGGGCCACCACCAGGTCCCTCATCGGGATCCCCAACATGGCCCGATGAACCTGGCACTGACTCCACAGACCTGCCCAAAGGCAGAGGAACGGCTTTCTCCCGCATTGCAGATAACTGGCCCTGGGCACCAGTCTACAGGACCTCACCCCACCTTCACTGCCCAGCTCGGCCTTCCAACTTGTCAGCTTTAAGGCACATGTCCCTGATGGACCCTACTGCACCCACATTGCCAGAGAAGGGGCACAGCATATGTGGGCAGTGAAGTCAGTGATGCTGTAGAGTCAGAGGGACTGCACTTCAGGCCCTGGCTCTGCAACTGACTTGCTGTGTGACCCCAAGCCAGTCACATGCCCTCTCTGGGGCTTGATCGGTTTATTTCTAAGTGCAGAGGTAGGATTTTGTCCTTGGCCTTATGCTCTTCACAAAGTTATGCTGCTCAGGCTCCTTGTCAGCTAGTAGGCACAGGCTCAGGCCTGCCTCTTTGCCAAAGTCTACTGCCAGTGCCCTGACCTATTGGTCCCACAGCACCCAAAGCCTGGGTAAGTTTCATTTCTCCTGCTGTGCTCCTCCCTTGATGCACCTGGCTCTGGTTGATAATTTGCTCCCAGCACTTACCCTTGCAGAGCAGTCTCACCTCTGAGATGGGGCCAGCCCAGGGACAGGGCAGCAGAAGGTCCACTCTATTTCTCTTTAAATTGTGGCAAAGTAGACATAACATAAATTCACCAACTTGGCCACTTTTTTATACAGTTATATCTGTG